GAACGCCTATCCTCCTGACGTATTGGCTGTCTCCAGTTATTAAATAACGAGATCGGCGGAGACATGTTCACCCGGTTCAACGAGCAATCAGCGAATTTGTGTCTGAGTTTACAGCACCGAGGACGTAATCCGCAGAATACAAAAGTCGCGGATATGGCATGGCGTAAGCGCTTGTCATTACCACGTAAGTCAATACCATCGTGCCGCCGCTTCAAAGAAATTCCGCACATTATTCGGCACAACTGAGGACGCGTAGTGATGCTGTTTGCACTTAATTCGCGCCTTATGGTTTCGTCGCAACACGATAAAATAGATATGGCGAATTCCGTGATGGCTTCCTCAGGCATTTGTAACTTAGATACGGTCTCTACCAGTTCCCATAGGCAAACAGCTGAATCAGCAGTTTCTGTAAGAACTGACGCGGCGCGTCCGCGAAGCACATATATCAGTGCCAACAGCAAATCAGCACTGTCCAAACGTTTACTCTTGATGATCATTTCGTCACATTATACCAGCCCTCGATTTCAGCGTCGATATCATCAGGATCGAACCTGACGAGACTTGGCGGTCTGACGTTGGACATATCTGAGACCGCATCTCGCAGGAGACTCAAAGGGAAAGCTTTCATATCACCGTACATTATGCGGCCGCTTGTCGATGCTTGTGGACCAACCATTCCTAGATACATTTGCTCTGCAATCCGTCCTCCGCATCCCATTTCTGATATCGGAGAATGACCGAGAGGACCCGTGTCAATGTGCTCGTTGACCAATGCCATGATTGTAGGTGAGGTAGGATGGAAAGAAAAGATGCACAATTTATTGATAATCACTTTAGTAGTTCTGCAACTGGATAGTAGACATGTCGGTGTCTTACGATTGATTGACTGAACTCACCTTGCTGAGCGTTACACGCATCACGCCGAAAAACATAACATAAACAAGGGTCCATCTTGAGGGAAGCGCTATCACAACCGGAAGATAAATGTACCTTCCAAAGCACCGTCATATGTATGTGTGTGTGTATTTACTTGCGGTAGAATATTAATAATATTAGTGATCGTAAAAATAAAAATAGTAACAATAATAAGACAACAGCTATACAAATTTAACTACAAATGCATGAAAACTATAGAGAGGATTTATTTTATAGGTATAAAAAGGAAGCAGAAAATTGTTGACACGTTTACTCTTTGTTAGTTACGAATCGAGAGTTACGTTTATATGAATAGTTTAAAATAGAGATAGTTTCGCTGTCTGCTACATAACGCTGCGAACAGTTTACATGCTAATTTACCGTGTAAAGTCTTACTTTAATAGAATTTATTTTATTAATCGAGTTATTTTACAATATATGTACAATTTTACACAATATAAGTCTGTTACGATCGTTTTATTTCATCTGTGCAAATTATTATTATAAAAATGTTATTTTTATTTTTATATTTTAGCAGAAGTAATATTTCATATGTATATACACATACAATATGTTCATAACAATATGTAAAAAATGAAGAATGATTCGCGCATATTGAACGGAATATACATCCGTACACGATGCCTTGTTTCTCATCCACGGAAACTTTAGGCGTAGCACGGGCACACACCAAATGAAAACATTATCGGCAGTAGAAAGTGGATGTAACAAATAGTTCCAACGTTCTAAATGTGGATACAGAGGGCGTATCAAACAGTCGCGTAAAACGGCTCAAAGAATACGTCGGCTTAGCCACTTTCAAGTTTCTCTCTGCCTGTACTAGCAATTCTGTTCAACTTTTCGCACAAGCAGTCATTTGAAGTCGACTTGAATCACTAACACATTATAACACAAATTAAATAGAAAGCAGAAACAGTATTAAGAGTTGATTTGTGTCGACTTGTGTCACTAAATGAAAAACACTCAATGTAGATTGCTGTTATCGTGTTATTTGAGTATACGAAATAACTTATAGCTAACATATTGCTGTAGTACATACGAACACTTTAAAAATTAGACGTGAGTAAATTTTTTCTTCTTTCTAATTCTATTATTCCGTTAATTTTGGAATTATCAGTCGTAATTTCTCTATAGTTATAAAAAAAATATTGTAATTTTAGCTCATTTTTCCTATATTTAACCATTATTGCAACATCGCTTATAAATATAATTTCTTTTATTTAAAATAGTCGTTCAGGATAAGTTGATTTAGAAGAAGTGACTGTGACGTAGTTTATTCATGTGCACGGAAACATAGACATGGACCAACAAATCTTGAGAGTTAGAGTTAAGTTATTCTAGTTAGATTGAAAAGTTATGTTTATAGATGTAAAAATTAGGTAGTTTATTTATTTTATTGTTTGTTTCTTCGGTTTATTTATTATATTGTTTTTTCGGTTGCCATGGCTAGAAAAGAAAAACAAGTAGTAAAACTACATCTTGATTATGTGTGATACCATTAATTTCAATAAAATATTAAAAAACGTTTGAGCGGAAACTATATATTCTTTATATAAGTCTGGAAAGTTTTGACAGAGCATTCGTGTGAAGGTAGAAAAGGTTAAGTTGATAATAAGGAGAGTCTTGCCACCATGGATTTTGCTCAATTTCCCGGATATCCTGTATTTGAAAGACATGTGATAACCAATTTTGAGCATAGCGCCGATTATATGATTTTGCTTAAAGTTCAATAACTTTTTTGTTTATAAATATATATAAGTCTAACAGGATTTTTTTCTAAAAGCTAAAAGATGTAGTTTCATTAAAATGTATACAATATTACGAAATATTACATACATCTTTTTTTTTAATCGGTATGTCAAAAATGTGATAATAATCTTCGGTATCTCATATGTTACTCCACAAAAATTTTAAATCTAAAAAAATTTACGTTACATTACTGCCTGATAGCATGAATTAAAAAAAATGAACGTTATATTACTGCCTGATAGCTAATTAGAATTTGTCATCTCGTAACTGTGATTTCTTACCTACCCGAAGTCTATCGACCGTTTCAAATACTCACATAAAACGTCCATCATAAAAGGCGGCAGTCGAGGACGATGTGGAGCGACGGCGGCGGAGAATCTGCAATTATTCAATCGTGCCTTCCAGCCGCGTTTAGTGTCGCTCTTTCACCGTCATAGACGTTTCAAGCGTACAGAAGGAGTGATACATCCGTAATCTCGCCGTGACGTCGCGCAATCTCGAAATTTCGCATTTCACGCGCGAAAGATAGAAGGAATCACGATCGCGCCTCGACTTTGTTTAACCGACAGTTACCTGGGAAAAAATGATTATATATGATTATATATAACTATATACAATCATATATAAATTTTGCCCATATATGTGGTTACATATGATTATATATGTCCATACGAAAAATGATGTTATATCATTTAATTAAATACCGATATCATGTGCTGTCAGAAGCATAAGTAGCCAGAACCATTTACTTCGATTTATTTGCATATAATTTGTAAACAACAGTATTTTTCTGTTGTGGACATATATGATTATATATAGTTTGTTGCGTCGAACCGCAGCCGATGCTGCATTGTTATTATATATACATTAGTGGGCCCACTGTCTCGTTCGTTCAGCGAGACATATACATATATATATCCACGCAACGGACATGACTAGCGTTCGACCCATCTCCACGTGTAATGCGGCGGAGCATTCTCATTGGTCACTCGCATTTGTTACTCGCATTTGTCACTCGCATTTTTTTGGTTTCCTATAAAGGGAACTGCCGCGCACGGCGACGGCATTGTTCGCTTGTTAGCTTCGTCGTACGCGTCGTGTGACTAATAACAGAATACAAGAAGAAGCTGAGTCTTCATATTCATTGTAAGAAGCCGAGTCTTCATATTCATTGTAAAAAGCCGAGTCTTCATATTCATTGTAAGAAGCCGAGTCTTCATATTCATGGTAAGAAGCCGAGTCTTCATGTTCGTTGTAAAAGTCTTCAGATTCATTATAAAACTGCATTACAACCAACGAAACTAGTGTGCGGAGTGACCTTCCTCACACCTACGGAACATAGTTATATATAGGTAAATTTCATATATGATCTTTTTTCCCGTGTAATTTATTTATCTAGCTGTTATCTAGGTATTAAAAGTGTACGTTACATTACTAGCTACCGATATTAGATACGAATCTATTATCTCATAACTAGACACTCAAGGAGTTCAATTCCTACTAGGATGCATTGTTTGGTACGAGAAATATCATATCTGAAACATATATCTCAATATACAGCGTGTTTCCAATATATATCCGCTCGTGTGCTGATAGAAAGGGTTAAACTGATAGAAAAGGTAGACGCCATTACGCAAAATTCGTAATAATTAGCGAGGAATTATTCTGTCTGAGCTAATAAGCACACGAGGAGAGGTAGACCGAATATATAGAAAGAAAGATCTTCTATCGGCGCACGATCATGACACTTGCGAATCGCGGTCCGCCGCGTTTCTCCACAGAACCAACGTTTTTCCGCGTCGCTGTGTCTCTTTGGGCGAGAGAACGCAGCGAGCCGCGATTCGCAGGTGTCACAGTCGCACGCACGGTCGAAGACATCTTTCTTTCTATATGTTCGGCCTATCATTTCTCGTGCGCTCACTAGTTCAATAGAATAATTAATTCCTCGTTAATTGTTGCGAATTTTGTATAATGATGTCTACCTTTTTTATCAGTTTAATTCCTTCTATCTGCACACAAGCGGGTATACGAAACATACCGGACACCCTGTATATCGACGAAAATAGAGGGAGATTTTCTTGATATTCGAGAATAATGACAATGTTACATCAAAATTTTGGAGAATGAATTTAACGAGCAATATTCAGTACGAAAATAGGCCGGTCCAAAATAAAAGTTAACCTACCCGAAGTCTATCGACCGTTTCAAATACTCACATAAAACGTCCATCATAAAAGGCGGCAGTCGAGGACGATGTGGAGCGACGGCGGCGGAGAATCTGCAATTATTCAATCGTGCCTTCCAGCCGCGTTTAGTATCGCTCTTTCACCGTCATAGACGTTTCAAGCGCACAGGAGTGATACATCCGTAATCTCGCCGTGACATCGCGCAATCTCGAAATTTCGCATTTCACGCGCGAAAGATAGAAGGAATCACGATCGCGCCTCGACCTTACAGAAACATCAGACTTGTTATTTCACCAGACGTGCCTTCCAATCAGATTTTTCGTCGTCGTGTGATTTCAGCAAAAAAAGAACAGAGAAATTGACGAAAGCACGGTTGTGTTGGTGACATGCGATTTCTCTTCGATCTCACAGAGTTCGAATGAATTCTCCTAAAAGTGCAATTATGTTCGTGTTTGTGTTCGAGTAGTGCTCGAGTTTTCGTGTATGTATCACATTTTAACGAAGCGAATATGATATTCAGCGAGCCTGTTCCGTAATTTTTTTAACGCGTACGTTATAACTGTAACGCGTTATAACTATATTATGCCTCTTTGCGCAGTTTCAATGCGTCGCACAAAGCCACGTTAACGATAACAAAATTGTAGTTAACAATTTCAAAAATAAGCACATAGGAACATATTCCTTCGATAAGTATAACGATCGCGATCATTACCAAGCGACGAGTTATTTTTTGCGCTAATACATTTTCACTTATCTCGACGCATGAAACGCACAGTCTTCATTATGTTTGCAATTGAATCACATTTTAACATGTCTAAATCAAATATAAAAATATATTGGTAAGTTTCTTATAAATACGAAATAGGGATCGCCTGTTTTGGAATATGGCCTGAGTCAAAATTTTGATATTATATACAAAAAAATCACTGTTAAGATAAGCTTACTTTAATAAGATTATTCAGTTTATTTTCCTTCTTTTTAAATGATGATTGTTATTTTCAACAAATAATATTTTCTTGATAAGTGAAATCTTAAAATATGCTTATTATAAATTTTAGGAAAGCTCATTATCATGTATTAAAAATAAAAATTTATTCTCTTTTCAAGAATATTATAAAACTTTATTGAAGAGTTAAATCTGAAAAATTAGATTTGTTTAATTTAAATAACTCGATTTTTGTTTTAATTTATAATAAACTTGTGATATATTTGCGGGTATACAAACTTATAAAATACTTGAAACAAGTAACGTTTATTTGTATGCAGTATGCATTTTTCTCTGTGTACTTCTACGTTTTTAACGATAGAGTTTGTGCTTATCTAGATGGCCTATAAAAACTTACTTTGACGATGACAATTATTAACTTCTCTCTTCAACCTTTACCTCTACGGATTTAATTTTAACGCTACTTTGAACAATTTATTTTGACGCTGAAACAGTGAAAACGGAAATTTAAGATCATATCATCAGGGTCAAAGTAGGAATAAATTATATTATTATAAACAAAGTTTGATTCTATTTTAGTTTCTACTGTGTTATAGAATTAAAGGTTTAACATAGGCTTAACATTTTGACTCAAGGACTTTGGAGTTAAATACCGCATTAATTTTGGGCACATTGATCCCAGATTCGTGATTTTAACGAATTCGGAATCTTTTGAGCAGCGAATTTTGCTAGATTGCAGGTTGTTAACGCTTATTAGATTTCTTCCGAACGTCGGAGAACTCACACGCGACGAGAGATAATAATTACTAATCCTTCGTGCCGATTCATCCTTGTTCCATCGATTGGATCAATTATAAATCTTTGGCCTGGGCGTTTTTGTTTACACAGATTATACCGGATAAGGGAAAACAAACGAGGAACACACGATGGACACGGAAAATCGACGAACATTCGATCTGATTGACTCGGTCGTGTTCGTCGGATTGTTGGGTATATCCGCACTCGTAGGCGTCTATCAGTGTTACGCATCTAGGAAGAAGGCGGACGCGGTAGGAGAATACCTTGTGGGTGGACAAAAGATGTCCATATTTCCGATAAGCATGTCACTAATAGCAAGGTAAAAATTTACCATAAGTATTTTGATCTAATGTTTACAAAAATCTCATTCCATTATGGAATATTCTACCTTATGAAGTCGAAAAAATATCTGTTTTCAAGAATTTTTGACGAAAAAAAGTATTGAAGCAATTAAGATGCGACTTTTTTTATAAATATTTATTGACTTTTTAAAATTATGATAGTATTTTTTGCTATCGCAACGATTTTTTATTAAAATTATAGCCTTTTTTATAGCATTAAAACTATTGTAAATGCTACTTTCATTGTAGTTCACTTTTTGGAGAAGTCTCTTTTGTAAGCATGCCACATTTCAAAGCGATATTTTTAATAATTATTTAATCACTTCCGCAAATTTGAAAAATATAATTTCGAGAAAAATAAACTTAAAGTTTTATGTTATTTTATGTTTAACCATAGATTTTTATTACTTATATTTATTTAACTATTTAAGGACCATAAAGTATGTCCTCTATTTCTTTGAATAAATCTTGCTCAGTAATTTTTTCGTTTTTACTAGCCATTATAGCCTCTCGTGACTTGTGCAAGCTTCGATGCTCGATAGCCTTCAATTGTTCCACGTTGCGCTGAATACTTTGTCTTGAGTACTAATTTTTATTTCCAATATTTCTATGATTTTTAATAAATTTAAATATCCTTTATTTAAAATGGACAAGTTGTTAGGAAAGCGACAATTTCTATTATTTTCGATACAGAAAAAATATTTTTCGGAGCATATTACCTCACCACAGCGTCAAAACTTTCATCGTTATATAAAAGGACACGTGACATAAAAAGACATGTGATATAATATATATAATATACATATATGTATAGAGATAATCGGAGGAAAATACAATATTCGTTTTAAGCCGAAAAAGTGCTTTGGAGCAGCTATGCTGCAAAGTTTTTTATCTGCGTACCGCTTCAGTTTACGGCCTATAACTCTAAAAATATTCGGTTACGGCCTATAACTTTGAAAATATTCGAATTTACACTTACAATTTTACAAGTATTCTTAAGTATTCTTAAGGCTTCAAACTTTTGAAATATGTAAAAAAAGAAAAATCAATTTTTTCAACTGAACAAAGTAGAATACCCTTTAATATAACAATCTGATCTATACAAAATATAAACAGATTCGATTCACAATTTAAAAAGAAATAAAAAATTCTCGTGATGCACACACACACACACACACACACACACGCACGCACGCACACACACACACACACACACACACACACACACACACACACATATATAAAGTCGGCATTAGAGGTTTCTACACTTTTTTCTACAAGTTTTACAACGCATCTCGTATTTAATAGAAAAATGTATTTCCTAAGAATTATTAAAAAACACATTCTCCTATTAGATACACGATGCATTATAAAACTCATCATGGAAAAGGTGTTGTAACTTTCAATCTACCGACTGTATATGTGTGGTGTATATGTGTATATGTGTATGGTGTGTGTTGTACAATCAAAAATAAAAAAAGAAAAATAAATGACGAGTAGGAACAAGAACGTCGTTGTGGCAATGAAATGATAAATCCAAAAATAAATGACACGTCAATGTGTAATTACTATTCGAATAGAAATTGATATGTTACTTATATTTGGATTTATGATTTCGTTGTTTGATATTTCTTTTTCCTTTATTACTTTTGATTCATCTCGTCAATGAGAGAATAATTTTTTTTTTTGATATTGAAGAAATATGATAGAGAATATCGCGAGAGATTGAGCAAAATATAAAAATAGATTAGAAATAAATTAGGTTTTGAGGTAGATCCATTATTTTAATTAAAAAACAAATTTCAAACCAACTTTTCTATCTCAAAAGTTTTCACGAAGATTTAAAATATTATTGTTTAGTTTACGACGTACCATGCGGCAGCATAAAGTAATTAGAATCTCATCAACTTCAATATTGCGCTAAAAATTATGCGTGTTTAATTCGATAGGCTAGTTGAAAAAGTGCTTAGTAAAAAAGTACCAGACGTCGACAGAGGAACTGTTCTATTGGTCGGAAATATATATATATACGTTGGGGTGACATTTGCTTCAATTGGCCGTCAAGGTTCTTTAGCTAAAGTTGTAATTATTAATAATCAAGCATCTGTGCGTCATGATACTTGGATAAGAAAATTTCATCTAGAAGCACCTCCACCTTAGTTGCACGTTATCGACGTTTTGTTGGCGGCAATTGCCGGTCGTGAGTTTTTATATTTGAATTAAAAACAAAAGAAAAATACGCAGGTCTTTTTAATAACAAAGATGTAAAATGTTTCAGTCCCCGCATCTTCAATCAATTAGAATATACGATTCTTGAATTTTTCATGACTAATTTAACTATTGTTACAATTATAGATTTACTAATAATTAAAAGTTATTACAAATTTATGATTAATAAGGTGCAAGAACAGCGGCAGAGTTAATAATTAGTAACCATATAGAACACATTAGATGTGTAAAACAATATTTTGTTCCCGAATGTTTACTATTTTGTAGAATCACGACTTTATATGCGATCGGAACAAGTCAGTGCTTCGATAAAAGCCTTTCATTCCCAGTTGTCGGATGGAAAATGATGCCGCTTAACTTCGCACACTATATAAATGTTGTGTAATTACGAACCGCTTTAAAGAACGGCTTTCCGAAATTACAGTTACGTGTCGGGCATAGCGATGCTGGGATTGCCGGCCGAAATGTATGTGTACGGCACGCAATTGTGGTGTATCGTGATCGCGGACACTTTTGTTTCCGTGACGATGGTAATCGTTTATTTGCCAGTTTTCTACGGACTTCGAATTACATCGTCCTACGAGGTATACAATCGAAACTATACATATACAAACCGTATATATATACGGACTAAAAATTAATATCATTTTAAAATTTATTCGTATATATAGTGTGTATATATATATTATTCATATATTCATATATATTTATATATATTATTCATATGAATAATATATTTATTATATGAATAATATATAATTATAATTATATAGGAGTTCTCATATATATTATGGCATAACGGTCCGCACGATTTTAGAATGCTTTCGACAGCTTAAAAAAATTGAAAGGTGAATATTCATTTGTTTCATGTAAATTATAACTTATAATAAAAAATTGGAAGAAACATTTTTTTCATAAAAAATCAAAGTCACCCTGAATTTCTTAAATGACGCTATGCAATTTTCTTCTGGACTTTAAAACGAAAAAATTAAACGCACTATCATAACTTTAACATCATATCAATATCTGCTGTCTTTCTCAATACACAATTGTCCAAGTTAGTGCGAAATATCCCCTTTGATATAAACAGTGCGTTCTTTTGAAAGTACGATTTCCAAAACATAATGCACCAATAAGAGAAAAGTTGAAAATTATCTTCAGGATTGGTAGACCATTGAACTATTGGAAAACTTATAAGTATATACAGTCTGTTCTATAAGAAAGTATACGATAGCATATCGAGAATATATAACCTAAAAAAAGATTTTAATATATTAAAGTAAATATAAAAAGATATCGCACGATTATTTAATAATGGGTCCAGTCGCTTCTATTATAAATTATAGCTTGACACCTATTTGACGTGCTTTCGACAAATTTTTTAGCATATTCAAGTGGTAAAGGACGCCATAGCTTTCTGATTCTGGTTGACAATTGCTTAAAAGTAAAGATAGATTTCCCTATTAGTTTGTGCTTTATGTAAGACCACACATTTTCAATTAAATTCGCATCTGAGGACGATGCAGGCCAATCCATAATGATGCAATTTTCAGCTTTCCATTCTGTGCAGAGGTGACTCCGATGTTTGGGGTCGTTATCTTCCTGAAGCTCCCAATTGTTTCTATTTTTTCCATAAAATTTCTCAGCAGATGTCAACAAACATTTCTGATAAATATAGCACATTTTTTCAGCGTTTAGGTTATCAGTAAACAAATAGAGGCAACCAAAACCACGCTGAATTCATCTTAAAGTCCTCTGCAATACTATGAAAAAAAAGTTACATGATGTCATTTAAAAAATTCAAGGTGATCTTGATTTTTACAAACAAAAATTTTCTTCCAGTATTTTTATTGTAAGTTGTAGTTTGCATGAAATAGATGAATATTCACTTTTCAACTTTTTTTTTTACTATAGGAAGCATTTTAAAAACTGTGCGGACCGTTACGCTGGACACCTTATAAACAAGTATATATGATTTTATATAAAGATAAAACTTGTTCTCTTACATGAAGAAATTCTATATTCAATTAAAAATATCAAATTCTTCTTATTCGAGAATAATTTTCATGAATAGAAAGAAAAAAAATATTAGATAAGAAAAACGATATTTTCAAACTAAGAATTGTATGAGTAAACCTATTTTTTTGTTTATATGAAAATGTATTATAAAAATTAATTTAATAATAACTTTTTCCATATAACAGTGGATCGCGTTTGCTAGCGATTTTTTATATTCTTTCCTTTCTTCATTTTGGTTATAGTACTTGGAGCTGAGATTTAATCGAGTGGTCAGACTCATGGGATCAGTTATTTTCATCATTAAGATGGTGAGCTTGATCTCGTTAAAGCTCCTGTTTCTTTGCTGTAGCCATTTTAATTAATGACTGTTAAAAACGAGAAAACTCTCAAAATGCTCAATGTTCTCAGACCGCTCAAAATTCTTATGGAATACGTTTCCGAACAGCATAAATTGGTTGGCTAACGTTGGCCAGACATTGAGTAATAATTAATCAACCAACTGGTACTGCTTGGGGTTGAAAAGACATATTCGTAAAATGTGCAACGACAATTACTGTTCACGTAGTTGCAAGAATTTTCGCTCCCGCTTTCGCGGCAGCGGACCGGCCTCGGCTGGCTCAGTTATCAATTTTTCGATAGCGATTTTACTTCTTAACTATCCCGAAGAACGGTAGAGCAGCGTGGTTCGTTCACCGTCTTTCTCTATACGCAGGGAAGTTCGGAGAGGAGTCAGGGGATTTGATAATAATTTAAAGACTATTACATATTAATAACAAATCTTTAACTCGCCTAGGTATCTTCAAATAAAGCCTTATCACACGGGGAGATCCCGTAACGCGATTGAAAATGAGAGATCTCTCGCCCGAGATGTTCCGCGAAATATTTTTCTAACGGCGGATCTAAACCGTCCGACGGCAACTACAATAACGCGTGTCGTGTTAACAAAAGAAATACTCTCTTGCCCGATTTTATTACGCCGATCTCGCCGGGATTCCGATGGGCGCCAACCGGAATTCTCCGGCAGTTCGTTACTCGATTCCGAAAGTTCATGCGCAGAAATCCGAATTAGTCAACTCGCCAGCGAATAAATTAAAATCACGCGATAGATACATTTCGCTACGTTACAGACAAGTACCGACATATAATCCGAGGACTGTGCGACTGGCGGTTTAAGAAGGCAACCGAGTCTCTCGTCAGAGTCTCCGGGATTCCTAAGCTCGAGACCCTCTCGAACACGACCTTCGTCGCCTGCGACGTAACCCTGAAATCTCGCACGTCCACGCGTCCCGATCTTCAGGGCATGACGGATTCTAAACGAGTCCAATACCCGATTTCTTACTCGCGCAGATGCCATCGGGAAGCGATGGCAATCGACTTGGAATTATTACGCAACTCTATTATATTCTACCTGCGGCTGTACAGCTTTTCTCGCTCACCCACTACCAGAAACTCGCCTCTCCTTCTCAAGAATTCGTCCCGTTCCTTCGGCAGCTTCTTCGACAACGCTCTCGCCAAGGTACACTCGCCGTCGGGTTGCACAATGGCTTGTCAATTAGCACAGGAAGTAGCCGACGCAAGGATTTGTCTTGCCGATCGATGCCGTCGGGCCATCCCCGCTGTCCGTCGCCAGCCGTCCACCCGTAAAAGAAAAATTCCTCGCGCCTTTCCAAACACCGTTTCTCGCCGCTTCACCAAAGTTCTCTCTCTCTCTCTCTCTCTCTCTCTCTCTCTCTCTCTCTCGCTCCTCCCGGCAGCTCCAATTTCTTCCGTCTTCTTATTTCCAACATTCTGGTTTCTCGTAGTGGGTGACCTTATACTTAAAAAAAATATAATAGCCGCGGGTCACGTCTCGTGCGCAAAACGGCGCACGAAACAAAGTTTTAATATTCGGTCGCTTTCTCGTACAAGAAAGCGCGAGGTTCCGGCTCATTCTCGACCAGGCCGCAAGCCTAAGTGATGAGCAAAAATTTGCATCGTCACAAATGATACTTATGAGATCAGTTAAAAGTATATAAAATTTCTAAAAACTTTCTTTTTACTTTAACAATAAATAAATAACCATAAAATTAACATATCAAAATCATAAGAAAAGATAGGTTGAAAAAGAATATTGAATGTCATGTTAATTATACGGTTACTTATTGATTGTTAGAGCAAAGGGAAAATTTCCGGAGTATTTTACGAATATGCTTAATCGATCACAAGTGTCATTTTATTGATAAATTCCTTTTTCAACGAACTTCACCAGAATTTTGGACATGTGTTTTCTTGCTTCTGACGTCATCAAATAAAACGACTTTAGCGAAGGAACGAGAACAAAATAAAAAATTTGAAAAAACTTGAAAATATTAATCTCGCAATTTTTATAAACTTAAAGTTTTTCGGATTCCTTTTTTCTATTTTTATCTTTCTTTTTATCACGTTCATCTCAGAAAATTGTCAAAATTTTTGCTGCACGATATTAACGTCTCTGTGGTACAAGAAATTGATCGAAACGTCGAACTCTTGGAATAAATCGGCATCGACAAAAATTTAATGAGATGAACAATCTTGCGTTTACATTTACAGTTACTTTACATACCACTGGTGATATATGTACCGGCACTAGCTTTCAATCAGGCTACCGGGATAGACCTCTACACGATCGCCCTACTGGTATGCGCCGTATGCATTTTCTACACGACGCTGGTAAGAGAACGCAGTTCTTAACACAGATTTTATTTGCTCATAAAGAATCACTTCGAGCCCGCGTTATTGAGAAAATATTTTTTTGTTAACAAAAAATCAAATGGATTTCTTGAAACTTTCGTAAGAAACATTTCTTTCAAGATGCACTATATGTGTGTGTGTGCGCGCGCGCGCGCGTGTATGTGTGTGTGCATGCGTGCGTGGTGTGAGAAAGAGGAAGAGAGAGAGAGAGAGAGAGAGAGAGAGAGAGAGAGAGAGAGAGAGAGAGATTTGATCATTCTACAACTTCTTGTATATCCATTGGATTAAAATAATTATCTTGAATATTCTTGAAAATATTTATTGACGAAACAAATATTTCAGAGGAAAATTGTTAATTGCTCCTTCTTTACAAAAAAGTGCCACTCGATTTTCCTTCCTATTTTTGATTTTTTATTAAACCAAGTTCCCATCAGGAACCAGCACAAGAATAACACCATCAAATGAATTTCTTGAAAAATTTTTTTTTTCAGAAATGCACTGTTTACGAGATATCAATTGTCCCACAACTTTTTGTATATCTATTGTATTGAAACAATTATCTTGAATATTCTTAAAATTTTTGTCAAAGAAATAAATATTTTAAGAAGAAGCTGTTCATTTTTTCCTCTTTCCAAAAAGATGTTACTCGATCTCCCTTCTTATTTGAGACTTTTATCAAATCACCAAATTCTCTCTCGGAGAGATGACATGCTAGAATAAACTACTGAACGTATCTCTTGAAATTTTACAACTTTTGTAGGAAGAAATCTGGACATATATTTTTGAAATTCATACTTTTCCTTCTTGTGAAGGAAAAATGTAGAAAATAAAAATCGTATGTCCTTCGGAGCGTTTTGAAGGAGGAACAATAAGATATTGTGATATTTTGTGTTAGGGTGGCTTGAAGGCGGTCGTATGGACGGATACTATTCAAACGGTGATGATGTTCGGTGCCGTTATCGTCGTTGTTGTACTCGGCACCAACAGAGTTGGTGGCGTGGCGGAGGTGTGGAAGAGGAATTTCGATACTGGGAGAATTGAATTTTTCAAGTAAGCGTAAATTTTTTTCGTATCTTTCATGTATCTTTTGTTTTTTATTATAACATTGTACTCGTCACACAACTTAACAAATCTATCGAGTTACCGGTAGTATATGGGACGAAGTTACTAGTTAGTTAACCCTTTTAGTGCCGGGAGCCGATATATCGGTTCCTGCTACACCGGCGAGAAGTGCCAGAGCCGATATATCGGCCCGCACCTTGTAGCGCTTTACTATTCGCATTGCGAGAGATCTCTATCAAAATAAATTTAAAATACGTTATAAATAGTCTAATTTCATTACGAGAGAATTAAAATAAATAATTTTTAAATATTGCTTTTCGTTTGGTTTTTATGAGCCTTTTACCAAATCCTAGTAAAATCGGCCGGTTATCTTCGCATAAGCACCTCTTTTTTGCCCGGCACTAAAAGGGTTAACGAAATTAAATACACGGAAAAAGTAATTCAAATACACAACAAATTTTGTATACTGTCGTAACAAATAAAAAAATATGTATTGTGTTTATAAATACGTTTCGTGCCACATACGAGGTCTGTTCAAAAAGTATCGCGAATTTTGTGTTTTTTCAAAAATTATTTATTTATTCATGAATATCTATTTTGTCTCCTTCAAAATAATTCCCATCAGATATTATACACTTGTGCCAACGTTTCTTTCAATCCTCGAAGCACTTCAAAAAATCATTTTTTGTGATCTTGTTCAGCTCCTTTTTCGATGCCGTCTTTATCTCCTCAATCGTAGCGTAGCGTCGTCCTTTCATGTGCCTCTTCAGTTTCGGGAACAAGAAAAAGTCACAGGGGGCCAGGTCTGGGGAATACGGTGGCTGCGGCATCATTAGTGTGTTGTTTTTGGCCAAAAATTCGCGCACAAGCAACGATGTGTGAGCAGGGGCGTTGGTACGAATTTCGCGGCGACCCGTCTCATGCCCAAATCATTAGTAAAAATCGAATGGCACGAGCCAATCGATATGTTTAGGTCCTCAGCAACTTCTCTAACGGTGATTCGACGATTGGCCAATACTATTTTCTTCACTTCATCAATGTTTTCGTCTGTTGTTGACGTGCTCGGGCGTCCGGCACGCTCTTCGTTGTTCACATCTTCTCGGCCCTCTGAGAACATTTTGTACCACCGATAAACGTTGCTTCGGTCCAAGATAGCTTCACCATATGCCACAGTCAACATTCGGAATGCGTCCGCGCACTTAATTTTGTTTTTCACACAAAATTTGATACAGATTCTTTGATCCATTTTTTGGAATAGGCAAAAATCGAAGACGAGCCAAAACACGTCCAAGCAAAACAGCTGTCAAAGATAAACTGAATATTCAAAATGGCCGAACTTGTCGGCATAAATGAGGGACATGAGTACCAACATAACGCCACAAAAAAAAATCGAAAATCGAATATACGTAACCCGCGGAAATTCAAAATTCGCGATACTTTTTGAACAGACCTCGTAAGTACAGCTACTTGCGTATTATGCCTTCGAGAAGTTCGAACATATTAGTCAAACGTCTTCGGGTGGGCCGCGGACCGCAAAGTGTTAACCAAGACAAATATAACTTATTTTTTCATTTTTGAAATTATATTTTGTAATTTGCTTAATTGTATAAAAGCCTTTAATAGAGATTGATTATAATTATTCGGTATCGTTTATTACACTAATTAAAACGTAGAGGTGACAAGATACCGAGGTGACACCAAATCACCCCCATCCCTGGATTAAGTCTCTCAGAGAGGACACTTGGTACATTTTGATTATTTAATTAAAATATAAATTATTCTACAAAATATTATTTTTTAACTTGATCAATATAGTTAGATTCATTATTAAAGCATCTATGATATTTGCATAAGAATGTTTTGATTTTACTTTCATTTTTTTAAGTTTTTTTAAGTTTTGAAGATTTTAAACAAAATGAAAAGGAGTTCAAGTGTCCTCAGTTTTTCCAACACATATTTATTTCTTAAATTAAAAATGATTTCAAAAATCAACTTTTAAAATATTGGACAATGCACACGCAATCAGCGGATTAAAAATTGCAACTTTTGTTTTTGATAAGTTTCGCAATGCATTCTGTATTCAATAAAAGAATTTGTTTTTTAAAAATTCTTAAGAGACATTTTCTTATTGGATATAAGATACATTACGAAATTCATCGAAAATAAAAGTGCTGCAATTTTTAATCTATCGACTGTCCATGCGTGCGCACGCATATGCGTACGTGCGTACATACACGTGTGTGTGTGTGTGTGTGTGTGTGTGTGTGTGTGCGCGCGCGCGCGCGCGCGCGTGTGTGTGTTTAAGAAACGCTCTATATATTTATTTATTTACTAGCACAGCATAAAATTCGCTGTTCATTTAAATTATTTTTCTGCGTGTAAAAAATATCGCGCAATAAACATTTTTCATGTGTTGAACAGCATGGATCCAGATCCTACGGTGAGACACACTTTTTGGACTGTGGTGTTCGGCAGCTATTTAAATTGGTTAGCCACGTGCTCAGTGAATCAAGCGATGGTGCAGCGCTGCCTGGCGATGCCGAATCTGAAGAAGTCCAATGTGTGAGTTTGAGAAATTGTCTCGTGATGTGCATTTCCCAGTGCGGATTTCGCTTATTTAATTTCCCTTTGTGTCCAGGGCGATTATGATAATGGCCGTAGGTATAATCAGCATCGTCTCGTTGTGTTGCTACACAGGAATCGTTATTTTCGCGGCCTTCTACGAATGCGATCCGGTCACGACGAAGGTAAAATTTCGCGTAATATTTCGGTGTTAAAGCAACCGACAAAACAGAATTTTCTTGACAAAGCGTCCGGAAGATGAGAGCGATCGATTCGTCGAGAACTTAGATTTAATCTTTTGCGGACGCGTGTTTCCAGATAATATATCTTCATCGTTTTTTTTACAAATATTAGGAATATTGTGGCTGATCGTTTGTACAGAGCGATTTTCTATCATATAAGATGTTGAAACATAATTTGAAATTGTTATCTGTTATTCAGAGTAAGGCGATAACTATTTACTATCTTAAATATCTTCGAAATACGAAAGAAATAGGAGACAAATTTATTTAACATATGAAGAAAAGTCAGTTCCTATAACTGAATAAAAACTGACGAAAGATGAAAGTTCTGTGACAACGCAGAAAACAACTCTGTTAGTATAATTAAATTTTCTGTTGCCTGGAAACTAAACGAAAACTCGGTTTTTAGAACGACATGATTCTTTTAGTAGATTTCTATTAGTTCTATAATTTCTATTAGTTCTATAGTTAATTCCTCTCAATTGTCTTAACCAAATTTTAATACAGCTGAATGTTCATACAAATGTTCTCAGTCATGGTAGCAGAGTGACATCAGAGGACGTTATATTGACAGTAATATGACGTCTTCAAAGTTAACATAACGTCTTCTAATGTTCACTCTGCTGCTTAGGAAGAAATGATATTTCTACTACCGCGACTGAGAACATTCGTGCGAACATTCAGCTGCATTAGGTCTGTTCTATAATACGTCGTATGTCGTTATCGGATGCCAAAACGTAGTGGATGATCCAATGAGGAGAACTCATTTTCGAAAAATAAATTCTCACATTGGACCATCGACTGCGTTCCGACATCCGACTCTGGCATACGGCGTATCGTAGAACAGGCTTTAAGGGCACCAACAGACGAGCCACTTTGTGGCACTACAAAGAGTCTACAATATTAACCGGCGCCTGTCTATGCAAGCCTGTTTAAGAACTTCGTATAAATATCAAGTGGTTTTGTATAGACTTTTTCGTGGCATCACAAAGTGGCTCGTCTATACGCGCTTTAAAATTTAGTTGATAACTGAAACTATAATTGAAAATACCAGACTGAGTAGAAACTTCCTGCAAAATTAATTCTTCCGTGCAGAAATTGCATTAATACCAATGGTCACTTCGAAAACCTTCTATAAACCTTTTTTCATCTAATCGTTAATAAAATATTTTTATTTTTCAAAGATATTTAGAGATGGTTATAGTTATTATTTCACCCAATATATTATCTTATAAACTGTTTATTTTTTCTTTTTTTCTTCATTGTACAGTGAATAATACGTTCGCGTTCTTAAACGTTAACAAGAGGTCATTAATGATTGTACGCGAAATTTCAATCGTTGATCTGAAAAATAATTTACGTTTCAGCAAATACGGAAGCCCGATCAATTGTTGCCGTATTTTGTGATGGAACTGTCGCACGCGATACCAGGTTTGCCTGGATTGTTCGTTTCTGGTGTTTTTAGTGCTGCGTTAAGGTATCGCGAAACATGCGTGTAACGTTTCCGTAAATTATTGGATTGGTCAATAATTCCGTGCGGTTTTTGCCGATAGATGGATTTAAACGTTTTAAAAAAGTTACATTTTCAATGCAAATTTGGAAGCGCATACCCAGACAATATAATGTTTAAAATTGGGACATAAGATATCTAAAATACGTATATGTCTTATATATAAACGTCTTTAAGACATATATATATATATATAAACGTCTTAAATACATCTTTCAAATGTCTTTTAAACATCTTAAGTCCCGATTTTAGACATTATGTTGTTTGGATAGTCATTGATAAGTAACATTTTAACGTGCATTAAAGAAACAGCATGAAGATTAGTTGCGTTTTGTGTGTTTGGCATCATTTGAAAGATGAATAATGATGAAAATGAGCTTTTTCGGCATATTATGCTCTTTTATTTTTAAAAAGGCAAAAACGCGGTGCAAATCTAAAAAGATATATGTGGTGTATGGCGAAGATGCCGTAAAAGAACGTATGTAATAGAAGTGGTTTGCGAGATCTCTCTCCAGAGATTTTTTTGTCCAAGACGCACTACGCTCGGACTAGCTAGTTGAGATCGATAGCTAGAAAATGAAAGTGTTAATCAATGCCAATCCACACTATATAATACGAGAGATTACAGACGTTCTCTAAATATTGAAATCGAACGTGGAAAACTATGTACATTAACTTGGCTGCGTTAGCCGGCTTGATGTTTGGGTTCCGCACGCGGTTACACTGAATGCAGTTCATCTAATTTAACGCATTTCTATCAGCGATTCATTCAAAAAACGATTTATTTTTTCGAATAGTGACAGGTGATGAAAATGGATCGTTTATAATAACGTCGAATACAAAAGATCGTGAGGGAAATGCAATGAACAGCCAAAAAACATTTCGAAGACAGGGCTTTACCTGAGTAAGGTTTCAGTTTGATGGGATTTGAAAGGTGTTGTATTCTAGTGTCTGTCAAAGAAAAATTAATTCGAATATATACTATTATCAGCTGGACAAATTGAACGTAGCGATCTACGAGAAGCATCCAGAAATGGTGAATCACAAAAGCATCGTCTTCCATCACGACAATGCCAGACCATGCACATCTCTGCAAACCCAATAAAAGTTATTAGAGCTAAGCTGAGATGTCTTATTGCATCCTCTATATTCACCAGACCTTGCCCTTCTATATTACCACTTGTTTCGCTCTTTTCAGAATTTCTCAGTGCTTCGTTTCCGAAGAGACCATCAAACGGCACTTAGAATAGTTTTTCGCCAAGAAAAACAGGAAGTTCTTTGAGCGAGAAATTATGAAACTGCCTAAAAGATAGTAAAAGATAGTAGATTACAACGGCTAATACATTTTTGACTAAAGTTATTGCTTTCTATAAAAAAATCGTCTTTCATTTATAGTTAAAAACTCGCACAGACTTATTGACCAACCAAATATACTGCTAGAAATAATGATCTTTATATTCTCCAAATTTCTTGAAGCGAAATCTAATTCAAAAATAAAGCGGCCACCTGGCCATTTAAATTTGAATGACTTTTCACTCAGATAGAATGAATCTCCACTCTGAACCGTCAAGTAAATATTTCCATTTGAAACTGATGAGGGAATTTGATATATTTCATCGTCAGAAGAACATATTCACTTCAATCGATTGAAACATTCGCTCATATGGAATCAGAATCCATTCTAAGTTCGAGTGAAACATATCCAATATTTTAGAAGTTAGTTTCTTCATTTTATAAAAATATTATTTTAAGTTACATTATTAGAAGTCTGAGATGGATAATATTTATAAATATTATACAGGTCAAACATACGTACACATTTTGTAAAGATATATATCATATGATATATATTTCTTCATAAAATGGTCTCATTATCTTCAACTCCCAAAATATTGGATAGTACTTAAGAAATATCTACTATTTATTTATTCGCACATTTATTTATTCGCTACGACAGCATGCCATTTGCTGTTTCTCTGAATTATTTTTCTCCATGTATAAAGTTAGAATCTGTTCTAAGCGTGAAACACTCCAACCATTGCGCTGTCGAGTGGCAATATATTCATTATCGCTTCAAGTGAAAATATTGTCACTTTTCACACGTTTTGATGAAAATTCCATTGCAAGAAATTTAGAGAGTACGTAGTTGTATTTACAATATTTTAAGATTAGTAAGACGGGTGTCGAGTGTCAGGAAAAATAAAAGACGGCATGTTTCCTGAAATGGCCAATTCGCATCGCTTTTTCTTAACACTCCATTCTATATGCCCGATCATTTTCTCTTCCTCACGATTATGTATGTTCGCTTGTTGACTTCTAGCACAATGTCGACGGGATTAAATTCCATGTCGGGTGTGATCTATGAAGACATGATCAAGCCGTGTTTCCGTAATCCGATCTCCAACGTTGGCGCGAGCCGCATAATGAAAGCCACAGTTGTGATAATAGGAGCCATTTGCGTAGGTCTGGTCTTTATGGTGGAGAAACTGAGCGGTCTGATTCAAGTATGTAACGTTCCTGTAATGTCGAGTTTCGTTTGAATTATGGGGAAAAATAAAGGTCGCTAACTTGACTTTCACTTAATTTGTGATCTATCTTTCTTTTTCAGGCCGGAAGAAGTTTGTCGGGTATAACTGCAGGACCATTACTCGGGATGTTCACGTTGGGCATGTTCTTTCCGATGGCAAATTCTACGGTAAGAAGTTGATTGCAGAAATCCAATCTGTCGCAAATTCTAGTCAAGTTTATTTCATCGTCGGAACAAAGTTCCAACTTTTTCAGGAAAACAACAGCTACACGTCTTTTATACTTATTACTGCTTATTTCCAATATAGGCCGTCCTTTAATCAGCATCAGTCGAGATATTTTAAAAAACAATTCTAACTCCAGATATAGAATATCCTCCACCCATCTTCCAGGACTGGGAACGTAATTCGAAATTATAATATTGCTCAGAGTAATAATTTTACGTATTATTACGTGTTATTATGATATAACGTCGAAAGAGCAAAATCGACAATGTAGAATCAATTTTCTTTTTATATATCTCCATTTATCAGATAATTTTTAAACAATTTTTTGATGAATTAATTTTTTTTATGAATTAATTATGTTCTATTCGGAAACAAAACTCATATACGAGATTTGATAAGTAACTTGGTTTAATATTAAAGATAACAAATTGAATTTTGTAACGTAGTTTATTTTGCGACATAGTCCCCTCGAAGTTCAACGCACTTACTCCATCGTTTTTCCAGGTTCGCGATTCTTTCGCGGAAATTTTTTCGAGGCTCTCAAACAAATTAAATTTTTTCGAGGCTCTCAAAATATTTGTTTAACTCCTGTATGACCTCTTCATTTGATCCAAATTTTTGTCCAGCCAGGAAAGTCTTGAATTTCGGGAACAGATGGTAATCCGAAGGAACTAGATCGGGTGAAGGCTGGATATGGAAACAGTTCAAATCGCATTTAGATCAATTTTTGCTCAACAAGACGGCTTGAATGCGCCGGTGCATTGTTATGGCGGAACAATACCTTTTTGTGGCGATTCATCCTTTAATCGGTTTAAAAGTGATGCATAGTATTCTCCAGTAATGGTTTTCCCCTTCTCGAGATAGTCAATCAGGTAAATTCCTTTCGCATCCCAAAAAACTGACACCATCATCTTTCCAGCGGATGGAATGCATTTCGCCTTTTTCAGAACCGGTTTGCTCCATGCGGTACACTATTTCGATTGCTGTTCCGTTTCCGGGATATAGTGATAAATCCAAGTTTCGTCCATAGTTACAAGACGCCGCAAAAAATCCGCTGGATTTTTCTTAAACATTTGCAAATTGTCAGCTGATGTTCACATACGAATTCGTTTTTGCTCTAGTGTGAACAAACGCTACACCCATCTTGTGTTAAATTTTTAATGTGCAATTCATTATGCAAAATGAAATGAACTTGCTCAGTTGAGACGCCTATGGCCTCTGCTAACTCGTGCACTTTCGCTTGTCTGTCGATCGAAACCATATCATGGACTTTATCGATGATTTCTGACGTCACAGCTGGTTTCGGGACTCTAGGACGTGGTGCATCTTCGATGCTTGTTCTGCCACACTTGAATTCATTTACCCAAAGTCAAACAATTTCATAGGGTTTGCATGAATGAGTCACGCAATGTAAGGGAAATTCTCTCATGAATTTCCTTCGCTGTTTTCCTTTCCAGAAAAAAGAATTGAATCATACTACGAATTCCAATTTTATCCATTTTTTACTGTCACTCGAAACACTTCTGTTTAAGCAACTGTCAAACAACAAATTACTGTCAGAATGACATGTGATCATACAATATTCATCCATAGAAAAAACACTTTATGATCATATATACAGATATCGCTGTCGCCCTCTATTAGTATACAAATCAAGTTACTTATCAAACCACCCTCGTATATATAGAAAAAATTATTTTTTTTTTTATTATATATTGATGTTTGATTCTCTCGTGAATTGTCATTACTTTCCTAATTGTATCGTCACTTATGAGATATTGCGCAAACAGTACGCTAAGTCAACCTTTAAAATTAGGATGATTTTGTAAAATTCAATATTTGCCGCACGACTTTTTTATCATCATTCTCTTATCTGGGTATAGGGAGCACTCGTCGGTGCGCTAGTCAGTCTCAACTTAGTTGCTTGGATCTCTTTCGGTACACAAGCTGCGATCTCCAATGGATCGATTTTTTTCCCCGTGAAGCCGGTATCGGTGGAAGGTTGTTCCGAGTTGCTGAGGAGCACCGCTGGAAATTTCACATTGATCATCGAGAACGCCGTTAGGTATACGTTAATTGGTTAAAGCTCCTATTTTCTCCCAGTTATCTTGATTAATAACAGAAATAAGAAAACATATGCTCAAAATTCTTGCAGGATAAATCACATTGAATTGAAAAGATATATCTGTAAAATGACATTTGTCATCGATTGAACGCATTTGTAAAATACACGGTTTTTCATTAAGAGATTTTACTTTAATTAAAGATTTTATTTTAAATTATTAAAAAAACAAAATTTCTTCTAAGTGATGATATTTTTATTCCAATTCAAGGTACAGACTACGATTAAGCATGAATACGATATTTAATAAATGGCTACCTCGATTTTTTTTATAAATGGTCACATTTTTTAGGAAATCTCGTGTCATGTTTTCGCATAATTACGACTCCATTTCGTGAATATTTAAACATTTATAATATTGTCTTTGAGCTCTTGAATCATTTATGGAGCATTGGCATAGACCTTTATCTTTTACCTTATCTTTTACATAGCTCCAAAGAAAATAATCTAGCGGTGTTAAATTATTCGATCTAGGCGACCAATTAAAGACTCCGCGTCGAGAAATTATGCGTCGGGAAGTTATTGCGGAAACTCATCACGCAATAACGCGATTGTTTCATTGTTTGTGTGGCACGTTGCGCCGTCCTGCTGGAAATAAACATCGTCTAAGTTTAAATCGAATTGCACTTCGAATTACTCCTTCATTCACTTTATTTTCCAAATTTAGCTCCTTACGACTTCTTTCTCTTTCCAAACATGAAAAAATGGCTCGCTGAAAAAAGATTTGCATCGAACGAGGAAGTCATTGCTAAAACAAACGCCTATTTTGTAGATTTCAAGAAATTGTACTTTTTTGAAAGCTTAAAGAAGTTAAAATATCAATGGGCAAAATATAGCGAACTAAAAGGGGATTGAAAAATAAGTCGTATTTTGGTAAAAAAATTCTTTCATTTCAAAGTCTTATCAAAGACTTATCAAATATCCCTCGTATGTATACAGAGACGTATCGTCCATCCGTGTGACAACGCGTACTGTCGTGTATAGTGGTTATAATTCAAGATATAAAATAGGATGCTTTCCAACAAGAGACATAAGTCTAGTTACTTCATATATTAGGAAGTTTCATTAATTCGTGCTGTTTTTTTTGCTTGGAATATTTATTATTTTTATAATATGTTACGATCGGACATCAATTAAAGTAATTGCTATCGTTTTTGACTACTTTTTGTCATATTTTTGGTAAAGCTGAATCCCTCGTCAAAAGGAGGATCTGTCTTTTGAGGCGATCCAATCATCGACCCATTTTCGGAATTCATCGAGGTTAGCGAAGTGCGTGTCTTCCAGAGCATGTTGCTTGGAGAACAGGTAAAAATCGTAAGGAGCAAAATCGGAGGAATACACTGGGTGTGGGAGAACTTCCCATTCCAGATCTATTAATGTTTCTTTAACCGTTCTTGTTACGTGCGGTCTAACGTTATCATATTGGATCACTTTCCGCCTATTACTAACTATTGACGGCCTTTTTGCATCAATTCATCATTCAATTGTTCCAGTGGGTATTGATAAAGTGTGATATTAACCGTTTCATTGGAACTCAGAAGCTCATAATACATTACGCCTTCCATATCTCATCAAATGCATAGCATTACTATCTTCCTGTGAATATTCCTCTTTGGTGTCGATGTTAAAGGTTGACCGGGGTACACCTACGACTTCCTCCATTTCAGATTTTCGTAGTAGATCCATATTTCGTTCCCAATCACGATACGCCACAAAAAGCTTTTTTTCCTATGCTTAGCAAGCAAAGAAATGCAAATTTTCAAGCGATTCAACTTCGAGCTTTCTGACAATGAGACATTTGATAAGAAACCCATTTTCCTTCCTTGAAGACTTTCCCTAGGACATATAACTGCCTCAAAATGGTTGATTTGTCGACTCCGAGGGCAACTGACAATTCTTTGAGCGTCTGTGCCGGATTTTCATCCAACAATTCCCGCAGTTCTTCGTCGTCAAATTCTTTTGGCTGCCTGAGCGTTTCTTGTCTTGAACTTCGATATCACTTTCTTTGAAACCTTGCCACATTAGGATGTCTCGAATTGTTAGTGACCCTTTCAATCACGTTCCACACGTAATACAACAGATTTAAATTTGAACTATTGGACTATTCGGAAGCTAAAACTCTTTGCTCCAAAACATATCGATGTTGTCCGACAGCCAGTTTTGGACCAAATGACTCGTGTGAACTGTTACGTCGTTCTGTTGGAAGATATACGGCCTCCCAGGGGCCACAGTGTCCATCTATTGACTGCTGTTTTCAGAACGCGTAAATATACTTCCTTTGTTAATCGGTTTCTCCCTTATTAAAAAAATGCGGCGGCATGACGTCTCCTAGAGACAACGCTTAGGACGTGAATATTGGCTGGAAACTTTGTCCTAGCTACAACGGGGATATCTTCGGAGTCATAGGCCGACCAACGGTCATTCCTGCTGTTCACTTTTGCATCGACAGTAAACATTTTCTCGTCAGAAAAAAATCTGACGCGTTTCGCAGTTTCGTTTTTTAACGAATATACAAGCAAGAGAGCAATTCTTTTTATTCTAGCAGACTCAGACATCTGTCGTACCTTTATGACGTATGACTTGTAGCGTCCTCTTCGGCTATTCGACGCATGATAGCCTCACTCACACCCAAAATTGTCGCCAATTTCCTAAGACTGCCTTGGGTCTTCTGGGATCAGCTGTTGGACCCTTTTAGACAACTTCCGGGGTCCTTGCCGACCTCTCCCTTGAATGGCTCTTCCTCGACGGGTTTACGGAACCTTCTTTGGACTTCTCCGAAGCCTTATATTTAGCGGAAACTTCGTAAACTGTCGATCTCGGATATTTAACCCTTATCGGTGGTAAGTCACCTCTCACGTGACAACAATACTTCGTCGCTGCGGTCGTACGTCACGTAGGAGGTGACAAGTTCGCATATTTACCGAAACCAGCTACAACCTAGTGAGAATCACGCATAAAAAGCTAGCGTTCGATAAGGGTTAAAGAACTCAATTATTTTGGCCGGCGTACGTCCAGCGCGAAAACTTTCAATAATCGCTGTTGTTCGGTTATATTCCATGCTCGATCTTGACTGCTCAACCATTTTGAGGTTATGTTCGTTCAAAACATTGTTTTAGCTTACTCGGACACAAACATCAACTTAGCGCTGAAATAAAATATGGCGGAAAATTCAAACTGAAATTTGTCCGAATTTAGCTGACGCACCCTATACATACTACTGTGATCAACAAGTATACGAACTTTATTTCTAAAAATCAAAATAACAATTCAGTCATCAAAATTCTTATAGTCTCTTTCAAAGTAGTCCTCATTGCTTGAAACGTACATATGCCAGCGTTTGATTCAGTCTTGGAAACATTGCTCATACGCAGCAGACTATATAATCAGTTCACGCAGTGATTTTTCTTTGATGTCCACAATAGATTCGTAACGCTGTCCGCGAAGTGGTTTTTTCAGTAGAGGGAACAAGAAAAAGTCGCAGGGGGTCATATCTGATAAATACGGTGCTTGCGAAGCGACATTCGTTGAGTTTTTTGTCAGAAATTCAAGCACAAGTGTCAAGGCATGCGATAGTGTGTTGCAGTGATGCAAAATCCACGAGTTGGTTCCTCACAATTCCGGCCGTTTCTTACGGATTGCTTCGTGCAAACGCCTCGTGACGAACAAGAAACATTCTCTATTGACTTTTTAACCAGTTGGAAGGAATTTCTGGTACACAACACCACGATGATCGAAGAAAACCGTGAACATGACCTTGACTTTAGACTGCAAAAGGCGAACTCCACCACTTAAGCTTAAACAACTCAAACCTACTTGTTTTCGATAAACAATCATCGCCATAAGCTTTTTGCAACATTTTGAATGCATTTGTGAACGAAATTTCGTTTGCAACATAAAATTTCAAACAAATTCTTTGCTCCATATTTTTCGACATCGTAAAAATTGCCGCGCACAAAAATCTTCACTGACATAAACAACTGCCACTCTCAAATGGTTTGAAGGAACGCCATGATCTTTTCACAAAATGTGAAGGACATGTATACCAACTTAAAAAAGCAAACGAATTTGATTTACAGTATTCCCGCGATTAAAAAAAAATAAAGTTCGGATACTATTTGATCACAATAATATATATAGTGACGTTGCGGCGCTGCTGCCGCTTCTCCGCACGTCACAGACCATAGAATAATAACGGCGGACGGGGCACTGGAAAGCGTCACCTACCGATCTCAAGGGGGAGGGCTAAATTACGAGGGTGGTCCCTGAAGTACCCGACCTGACTAGAGATGGCGATAATTATTTGAAAAATATCACTGTAAGAGAGAAAGTACACAATCTATAAAGCATATGTTTCAAGTTTGAAGACGCCACGTTGTTTAGTATTTGTTTGGCAGCCATCAATAGTGAACGTTTTCAGTGAATTAATGAAAATGGAGAAAATTGGTCATCGTTATGTGATACAATACTTTTATTTGAAAGGCCTCAGCCCAACCAATATAAAAGCTGAACTGGATTCTACTCTGGGTGAGTCTGCTCCTTCGTTTACAACAGTAAAATATTGGGTAGCAGAGTTTAAACGAGGCCGTACGAGCTGCCAAGACGAGCATCGCAGTGGTCGACCAAATGAGGTGACGAAAATGGTGCAGAAATGGTGAAGAAAATCCACAAAGCGGTACTGGATGATCGTCGACTGAAAGTGCGCGAGCTAGCAGACATAGTAGGCATTTCAAAAAGTGCGGTACATCGCATATTATCTGAAAATTTGGACATGAGAAAGCTGTGTGCAAGATGGGTGCCGCGTTTGCTCACACTCGAGCAAAAACAGTGTCGTGAAGATGTTTCAATTGAGTGTTTAGCGAAGTTTCACAGCAACAAACGCCCCCTCGGATTATTTTCTGTTCCCAAACTTGAAAAAATGGCTCAGTGGTCAAAGATTTTCCAAC